AGTAGGGTAGAGGAATTTAAACTACTTGGTATACACCTTAACAGTAAATTGAATTGGAAAGATAACACCGTAAAGAGTGTAAAGAAGGCACGGCAAAGACTGTATTTTTTAAGATCATTGAGAACTTTTACTGATAGTGTGCCTATTTTAGTCAATTTTTATAGGTGTGTAATTGAAAGCATTCTAGCGTACGGAATTATAATATGGTATAGCGGAACAGCTGGGGAGGAAAGGAAGAAATTAGCAAACGTTGTAAAAACTGCAAGCAGGATTATCGGGCAAGATCTCCCCAAGCTGGATGATATTTTTAAGGACAGGATGGAGAAAAGAATTGTCAACACCATGAAAGACGCTTTCCATCCTGCATCCTCTCTTTTTACTTTTTTACCAAGCAACAGTAGACTTTTAACTTTTAAAGGCAGTAAACGCTTTTTAAACAGCTTTTATCCAAGTGCAGTGACGTATTTTAATTTGATCTCAAAGCTAAATTCTTAATTTATTTATTTATTGTATTATTTTATTATTTTACTCTGTATATTGCTCCAATGGAAAATGATTTCCGATTTTTATAATTGGCTAAATAAACTCTTATCTTATCTTATGACAAGTATTTTTTTTCGTAATTTTGTGAAAGAATGGCCCTTTTATAACAAAATGTTGAGCAAAGAAGGGGGGAAGCAGACGCTAAGCCCATTACGTGGGTCCAACTCCCTTAAGTAAATGCCCCTATTAAACACCTGTTATCCTACTTACCATCTAAGTAAATATCCGTCAGAACAGGGGTTGTGTGAGTACAGAACACGTGGACACCACCAACCTATAGGAAAAAAGATTGTTTAAATACTTAAAAGTGTATTGACAATTGACCTATAGACGTACTCCCCTAGCAAAAAAGTGTCACCCATAATGTAGTGCGTAAAGTAATACAGAAAGTCATGTCATAAGCTGTTGTTTTTTATCAAATTCTGAAGGAATTTTTTACTGATTGTGCAAGAAATTAATAACCTTATGATGGTAAATAAATTCCACGATATAGTATATTGTACAGTATCCTCTGGATTGGAAAAATGCGCCTGACGCGAACTATGCATTTTGTCAAAAAGTTTTTAACGTTTGAGGGGTGTTGGCATTCCTCATACAAGGCAAAAAAGAATTAATTTGAATTCGGTATGAGTATGGTTTAGGAGCGGTAATTGTGAACGATGGAACTGGAATTGAACACTGAAAAATAATACTTATTGATTGATACCTTTCAGAACACTCTAGACGGTATGCCTATCAGTAGTTTGAATACCAAGTTGACAGAAATAATTCTCTGATATTGAAACCTCAGCGGTGTACGTACGATTTGAATTTTTAACCAAAATATATAATTTGACTATGTCATGTCAGTTTAAGCTAAAAATGCCTAATTGATTTTGCAAGTATTTTTCATTTTATGAGGTTTTGTAGGTCCATTTACCAGACTGATTAATCAAACAAGGTGACACTCGACGGTATGCCACAGCCAAGCTTGATTTTATTTAGTCATTTACACTTTCACGCATAAATGATTTTAGAGGATTGAATATACGTACCTTGGCGCGAAGATACCCGCGCGGCACACTCACTGAATATCCATCGTGGTAGTCTACGAAACTAGTGTCATCTATCGGTCGTTTGCTGAGTATCACTAGGCCATAGGTCATCTCGTAAGGGGTTGTAGCACAAAGCTCAGTTCGACTGAAAGCATTCAGCAATTCTTTAACATTTTGAGTTTGCCGTGCCAAAAGGCAAGCTAAACAGACCTGGGAGAGCGCCTGGTACTCTGCTGTGCAGTTCCCAACGAAACACAAAAACTTGTCTGGCGCATTGTTCGCGACACAATTGTTCAAAAAACACTGGGATACTGCATTCACCTGTAATTAAAGATGGAACCAATGGTTATGCTGTCCCACACAAGGAAATGACAACAAATTAAAATCTTTTGACAGAAAACGTTAACGTATTGCAAGAGCACGGTATTCACCATGGAACGATTTATTCCGTATTGAATTTATGTTTTAATAGAAGTATATATATATATATATATACAAACGCTTAATAGGTATCAGCACCATAGCCCTTTGAACGACAACAGAATTCAAGATCAGTAGGATAATGATGATATTCAGAAAAATGACTTTGAATTTAGTTATGTTACCAGTTTTTATGTTATCGAGCAAACCAAGTTCAACTTTTCTAGAAGCCCATTTCTTAAAAGGTACATCACCGTATCCACCCCAGGGAGGAAATAACGATGACATAATATGCAAGCCATATTATTTTTCTACTGTTAACAGAAGCAGAGCTCAAATAAATCGAGGTAAGGTTATATACATGAAGTTAAAACTTTGAGAGTTATGATACTCGACTGTAACAAATGAAGTGTATTTACCTCAGCAAGGGTACAAGCAGGTACTAAAGGATTAGCAGTGGGGAAGACAGTGTCGCCGTCTATAGTCTGATGCAGGGCGCTGACGGAAAATGGAAAATCTGCCTGTGTCTTGGAGATTATTTCTCTAAGATCGTCTGCTTCCCAAACCTCTTGCAAGCAGACGACATCTCCCGGAAGAGAACCATTTTCTATTATTTCAATAAACTTTGCTTTACGCGTTTCGTATCTGGAAAGTTAAAAAAAAAAAAAAACATATATTTTATTATAAGTAAAAATAATATGCACAGTTAAGTGTAAGCTATTTATTGCTTGAAATCACTACGTTGACGACCATATTAAAGGATGACAGCTTATATCGGTCCCAAATGAGAGGCAGCTTCATGTGTTTCCGAAAAAAAATACATAATCAAAAAAGGAAGTAAATAAATAAATAAATGGACAATTACTCCCACCCATTGTCTTTGAAAAAAATAGTAACCATATTATCACTCAAATGTAAAGAGGACAATTTCTTACATTGATAAGGAGTTTCACCGTTTCAATTTTTTTCCCGAATACTTGTAAAGGAATACATAGAAAATCTAGAGTCGTACAAACACAAAATTCATTAATGAAAAATTCTTTTCAATTTCCGATCCGCTTGTGCAGTAGTGCCTTATTTCTCTCAATAAAGATTTCTAGACACTTTCTTTTTTGGTGATATTTGTCTACTTATTACTTCACAGGGGCGGATCCAGAGATAATTTCTGACAGTCTTCCAAATAATCTTTGTTAATTCGTCCTCAATTTTTGACCGTCTTCCGACAGAAAATATTAGATACCCGTAAATGTAAACTTAAAAATCTGACCGTCTTCCGGAAGACCCAGAAGACGGCTTAAATCCGCCCCTGCAATGGGNCATGAACCCCCAGGGAGTTAGGTTGATCTAGTTTGGATGGATCTAATCTCTGGGAATGGGGTCTTAGTCAATATCAAGAAAATTACCTAAAAAAACCTCTGATACTGATAATGTTCATCTATAGCCTTCTTTTGGATGAAAGAGTGCAATCTCCTGGTTGCTGAGGCACAGAGTAAACAGGAACTCAATGGGATGAGTTTTTGCAGAGTTTCTGATTACATCATGTGCACTTTACGTTTGATTATTATATGAGCCAAAACTAATATAGTGTAGCGCTGACCATCTCCAAGATAAACATGCCAGGAGTTCCCATTGTAGAAATGAAAGTCACATCACCCTGAAAAATATTTTTTTAACAGGTACAATTTTCTTTAGGGAAAATAGACAAAATATTTCAGGCTCTGAAATAAACAGTATTTTCAAAAATTTCAAAAAAGTCTTAATATTTGCTATGTCTAAAGGTTGATGTACTAATAGATATCATTTTATTCTATAACGTGAATTAATATTATATGAATCAGTATTATATAACCTATTTGGGTTTTATATAAATATGATGATGGTTTACTCATAATGCCAGTGTTAATGAATGGTTGTGTTCAGTTGATAGATTAAAATATTGAAAGAGTACAGACACAGTAGTATTGATGGCTAGGCAGAAAACCAAACTAAACCAAAAGATTTGGAACAATGAAAAACAACAATTCACTTCTATTATGGACAGACCATACCTGTTACAGTGAAAATATCTGATTTTTTCAAAGAATTTTACTATTCTTGTGTCACCTCTCTTGCCTATAGATGCCATTGAATTGGTTTCATATAGCACAGAAGATATTTGTTTGATGTGTGTATTTGTGTATATATTCTGATCTCTTTGGGCTCCTACAGACACCATAGGTCTACTTAGAGTGAACCAACTCTGTGCCTAGACTCTCGCAAAGTGCAATCAGCTTAATTGACTGAAGCGCCTCCACAGGCATTGAATAGAATACAAAATAGCTGCTGATTATGTAAGAATATTGAAAACAAGAGGAGGCATGTCATTCACTTCAGCTGTTTGCACTCAGCAAGAGTTCCTGCAAACCTACGATTGATGTCAGATTTGTTGTTTAGTTCATTTTTCACTTCAGAATTTTGGCACATTTCTTGTGGAAGAAGTGAGCAAGGAGCAGAAATTATGGGTGGTTACTGAGACTCTGGACGCCATCGTTGATCATCAGCACCTGTTGTCATGGAGATCAGGGTAACAGACAAACTCCAGACCATATGGTACCACAGCTGACAGCTGAGGTAAAACTGCTCCCTGTGGTTTTATTAATTTTTATTAAAACAATTAAAGACCTATAACAGCAACAGTTCCATCATCTGCATAGTAAACAATATAAAGATAAAAAGCATCACATTTTGCTTACTAAAATGATTCCTGCAGTTGGGTATTTAATATATTTTTTTACAGTGTAATAATATATTTATTTAAAGACATATTGATCAATTAAAGCAATGGATATCTTCTGAAAGAATATTGTGAAATTATTCCAGATTCATCAACAGAAAAGCAGCCTGGGGGCCCACATTCTTATCAGTGTGACAGCAAGGACAAATCTGGTTCAGTTCATCATATACAAATCTTGACCAGTTGATTTACTTAGACCTGTTTCCGTACCAAGATCCATCTGGCAGGATCGACCCATCTCTGTATTCTCTGGGTTCTCATTAAATTACATTCAGATTAAGCAGCTTAGATGTCTGTCACACCTACTGAATCTGCTAGATGATAGTTAATTACCCTCTAACAGCTACAGTAGGAGTGCCAGATGTCAGAGCCACTTAAGCTGAATGTACTTTAGTGAGAAACCCTTTGGAGATGGGTCGATCCTGCTAGATCGATCTAGGTACGGGAATAGGGCCTGAGACATGTTTTTCTTCTCAAGTGTCTTAAAACTTGGCAGTAATTTGGATCAGAGAAATAATTAGAGTGTAGCACATCAAGCTCCATAGCTTTCTGGTGTTAGATCAGTTTTATATCAGGCAACACTGATATTAAGCATTAATATATTTTCATTCTTTTTTTTTTCCAACTTTTATGATAGTCCCATTGGATGATTCATGTGTTATCACAAGATACTGATGTAAAACTTGCTTTTGTTTTTCAGCCTTTTCTTTCAAAATTAAATATCAAAATATGTGGGGCTATATTGTTTGTTTAAACATTGACCCACTAACTGAGACAACCAAGTGATAAAATTTCCATTCTGTTTGCTTATGAGCAATATTATAATGATTTGATGAAATTGTTTTTGTGAGGCTTAAGTTGTGAACACCACATTGAATTGGTTTGATTTGATTAAACTTTGTAGAATGTCTAAATTTCTATCAATTACATTGTTTTAAATCTGTGTTGATGTTAATAATTAAGAACATAAATTTCCTTTATTTTTTGTGAAGCTGACGACGTAATGTTGTTTGAAATATGGATTATTGGTTTACCTAGAATGTGTACATTGTATGGCAGTATAATAATAATATATAAATTACATTTTAAGCTGTTGTGTAGGTTTAAAAGAATTATATTTATCTTTTCACGGAGGGGCGTTCTGAACGGCTTTCATATATTTTCTAGTTGAATTAAAACTGTTTTCAGATATTACTTTTTATAAAGCATTTGTTCCGCATAACATCTGAATAAATTGGTGAAAACAAATTCTAACATATTTGGTTGCTCTACCTAAATCACACCTAACACATTCCGTTCGTTTTCTGGGTTAAAGGGATAAAAACTCTTCATATGAGATCTATATTTCACAATAAAAACATTGTGAACAACTCGTAGAAATAAAATATATTCTGTTTTACGACAAAAACAGCAGTTATAGCTATTATTCTGATATCTGAGATTGTGTTCAGATCACGTGACCTCCACTGATGGCTGTACTCTGTTATTATCTCTTAAGAGATTTTAACAAAAAAAAAAAAAAAACTTTTTAGAAAAAAAACAGGGACTAACTTTGAATGTAAAAGTGGATTCATTAACCTCTGGTAAGTACGGGAAAATTGTTTACTCCAGGAAAATTCATTTTTTTGGCCAAAACGAAGAATTATTATCCTTTTATAAGTAGCGTAGTTTATGAAAGCAGTGGCCTAGTATCTTCACGTGACGGACCGGGACCACGATACACCTCTGGTGTGGGGAAAGATTGAACTGATTTCAGACGAAATGCAAGTCCTTGAATAATGATGGAAAAAGTTGAATTTATTGCTTAGCTTTTATCATACTCCCATTTTAGATATCCCCTTACGTCAGAATTCTACGTTTCACTACATTGTATATTAACGTTAACCCGCCCTGTGATATCAGGACCTCTAAAATAATATACAATAGTATACAGTCCCTTTCAACAATTTTGTAACAGACTTCTAGCGCACCTATGGTCAGAGAGAAACCTTAAACAACGATTGTGCGCGTATCGTTGGCTTAAAATATTGATAAGTTGACGCCCACCACGATAGTTTCAAATTGATATCAATCACGCTCGTTAAACGTCGTAACGTCTCAAGCAATGTGAATAAATTATAATAATCTTGAAACTCCCGCCTGGAAACTCACTGTTCTATTTATTCATGATTTTACACGAGACCACGCCCTTCCTTGTGATAATTTCCACATGATTCCATTTATCTTTTTTAATTACCCCAAAACTAAATTTTATATACAATGTAGTGACCTTCACGTCAGTCGAAATCAAGTAAAGTCCGATACGTATAATTCTTCAAAATAAAAGATAATATACATATCGTTAACTAAATTTGATGCTGTTTAAAACATGCGGAAACAACTCGAAAACTGGATTAAAAGTGAAGGAGAGGGAGCTAATGTTCAGATTTACGCATCGGATATTATTCTCGGAAATGATGATAAGAAAATAAATCTACTTATTTTTCAGGTAAAATAATACATTTACAGAAAATCAAAATATGGAGGGCATCCGTAATACAGGGACATCGAATGTTTTCTGAACTAAAAAATAATGCTTTGCTTGTCTTTATATGTATTTATTTTATACAGTAGTTACACGTAGCACGCATACAGGTATGTATGTACAGTATGCGTATGTTTTTGAGAAATGTGTATGTGAGAAGTGATTTGTATTGTATTGTATTGTACACTGTAATGTTTATTTCTACAGTCTAATTAAAGAAAATATACATACAATTTTTAGAGAGCGTACGCGTCTGTAATTAAACTCATCACAAGCATCTGTAAGTAGCAGGTCATGGGAACGAGAAGTGTAATTTAAACGAATCTGCAGATTGTTACTTTTCATGAAATTTGTATGTGTAACTTATTCAAAATAAAGGAAATGTTTGCACACACTTGTAGAAAAGTGCACGACTGCCAGGGTGGTTTTATTTGGTGGTGGGTCGAGGGGGGGGGTATAGAGTTCGAGGCCCATCTCGCCATGCCTATAGCTTAAGTGTACGTCTCTGTGGTTTAGGGGTACAGTGGTCGCCTGCTTCGCGGATTAGATTCCCGACACATTTGGAAAACATCAGACTGGCTTCTGTCTTGAGAAATGTACTATTCTTTACATCATCTACTTTCCAGGGAAGAAATTTTAAGCTTACGGCAGCTGTGGACAATATGTCTACCAATAGATTACTGAGATCTCTAACAGTAGGGCCGTTCAATGGATTTTGTTTTGGTCATTTCCTATAAGTCCAGATTAGGGCGTTTTATGTTTACCTTGTTTTTTTTTTAAACTAGTGAAATAAGATAAAAATTAATTCAACCAATAAAAATATTGGAAATCTAAATATCGGATTTTTTTCATTTGAGACATAAAACTAAATAAAGAACTGAATATTATAATATTTATAAGCTATAGGCTTAAAAGTGGAATTAATATTAGATACTTAGAGAGAAAAAACTACTTAAAACGTTTATCCCCTTAAAATCAGAAATCTAATATCGTCGGTGAGAAATAAAAAGAGAATTTGCTGAATGGGTTTGTGTGTGCGTGTGTTCAAATTCACAATCTATTTAAAGAATATTAAAATAAAAGTATTTTGTGGTAATTTTCCTTATATCTGATCTACGGTATAAATGGGTGATGTAAAGAATTCTAATGAGGAAAAGTGAGTAAAATGCAAGTATACGGATTAGGCGTTTACTGACACTAGCCGCAGATCTTTCAGCACTAACGCTCATATTTAACCACAAAATTGACAAATTAACCAACACACCACACACTTATTTAGCACCAACAAAACGATATCTAGCACTAACATTCATCCGCTCTGGTAGTACTGCAAGACTAAAATCTCCTCAGGTAAACATTTAGCTTCGTTGAGCGACCCATACTCCATTACCCCTACCCAGTCAGGAGAAGTTAAAAACAATCCGCCTGCACATATATAATTGCACCAAATTCTGATGAGTTGTTGACACGCTTCTGCAGTTGATACACCTTTAAAATATCAATACATTCGTAATGTCAGGCAAAACTTCGTTCGCACTGAGAGGTACATTTTTTAAGTTAAAACTGGAACTCTTTGTGAGGTCTTATAACACGTAAGTACTCTGAAGAGGCTTTTACTACTTTTTGCAAGTTCTTCTGAACTTTGCTTCCCGCTTTAAAGCTGCCAAGTGTATCACCCAACCGTGTTGAGAGAGGAGGGAGGGTGTCCCTTTAGGTAACACTCTTACGTACATTCCAAGCCATTGAATTGTCTCTTAAAATGAACCGGTCCAGTAAAAGGCACCACTCTTCAGAAGCCGACCTCAATTACTTCAGACTTAAACGATAA